CAGGATTCAACTTTCACTTAGGCTGGTCTATATGTTCCAGTTACTATTGGAATGATACCTTATTTGACTACATACTGATTTAGCTGTGTAGTTGTAATGTTGTTATGATAACAGTCACATGATTTTGATAAGGTCTATTCTGTTCATTGCTATTGAAATACGATGGACCCTGTCTCTCTAGAAAGAAGGAGGTTGTTACCCTCTTCTTCACTTGTTAACAATGCAAGTAAAAGGAAGTACAAACCTTTCAACTGCTTCAGTAACTACTGTAAGGAATTAAAGTCTCGTTCTTTGAGTTTACCATTAATCCTACTACTGATTTATACTCTACCTATTCGAATTTGCATTGTAATTACTAGCAGGACTGGTAGCCTGTTCAGCCAGTGTGACTTATTTCACTTTAAAAATGATGCATTTACTTTTAATATAGCACTTATAGTAAATGTACTCTATCTTCTTGCCCCTTTCTGTGGTTGGTTATCAGATACTAAGATTGGTAGGGGTAATGCTATTTATCTTGGTCTAATACTTGGTTGGATAGGTGCTCTAATACAGGCCATAGGATGCTGTTTGCAATATAACTCCTTTCAGTGTGACACTGTTTCTTTTATAGGGAGAGTTGTAATTCCTTTCATAATCATTTTATTGTCATTGTCACTCCTGCTACCTAATATATTACCATATGGTATAGATCAGTTGATGAATGAATCTACTGTTAAGATAAGAGCATTTATTCACTGGTACTGGCTGTGTCTTTATAGTGGATATGTGTTGCCTATTATTATTGCCAATGAACTCACCATTTCAGTTGTGGCCTTTGTTCTTTTTTCTTTTTCTCTTTGTCTTCATTTTCTCTTTAAGCATCGTTTTGAGCACATACCTATTCCTAATCCTTATGAAATTGTATTTAAAGTATTGAAATTTATTCTCAAAACTAGTCGCACTAGAAGACAGCATCGTAGTGCATTCACATACTGGGGAGAGGAGCCCAGTAGAATGGATCTTGCTAAGGAGAGGTATGGTGGTTGTTTCTCTCATGAAGAAGTAGAAAATGTAAAGGCTTTTCTACGTATTGCAGTTGTTTCAGCTATTGTTTGTCCCCTATTCGTTTCTACTTTTTTATTATCTCATTTACCTAGTTTTACTACACAATTTAAAAATGGTTCTAAAGAAAATGCTAGAGTTGCTATTTTGGTTGTTGGAAATGTTGTCCCTTTTTTTGTTCTGGTCCCTTTATTTGAACTAGTTATTCTACCTCTCTTTCCTAAATTAGAATATTTTATAATTAATCCATTGAAAGGACTTGGTTTGGCTTATATTCTCATCATATTATCAATTGTTAGTTTATTTCTCAGTGACTTGATTGGAAGGATTGTTGCTGATAATAACTCTGATGTGCCTTGTTTTTTCATGTGGCAATCAGTCCATCAAACAATTGATACTTCCTATTGGATACTACTCATACCATCAGTATTATTTGGTACATCATTTTGTCTCACTGGGATATATTTATATGAGTTCCTGTGTAGTCAGTCTCCTTTTGGTATGCATGGAATGATCATTGGATTTCTGTGGTTTTTGCATGGTATATTCACTGACTTTGCTATAGGTATATTTTTAATAGTTTATTATCATCCCATGCCCTCAGTCTCATTTATGTCATGTACCTCATGGCTCACTATGATATTTGGTATAATTGCTGGTATTGGATTAGTGGTGTATGTATTAATAGCTCGATGGTATGTCAATAGGGTCAGGGATACTGATCTTGGTCTACGTACAGCAGTAGAGGAACATTGGGAGAATAGACTGACATCAGTAAATAACACTGAAACGGAAGATTTTCTTATTTCTAGTTTGAGATGATTTTTATTAATTTTTGCATTTTAAAGAATTTTGTAACTTTATTAATTTTATCAATCAATGTGCTACACTTTAAAATTAGTCCTGCCTTAAAATTTTTTTATAGCAATCAGAGTAAATTGTATTGATGTAAAAGCACATCTGAGGTCTTTTGAACAATTGCAAAAGGCACAGCCCCTAGTCAAGCAGCATCTTGACTATGCTGTGCAAACCACTTGCTTCACCAAAAAAGTATGGTATAGCACAAAATTTTCAAGGGCTGTTACTTCCTTGAAAATCAAATTATTATGGTACAAGATGGCAGATGGCAAAAGTTTGCAAAAATGAAATCAGCAAAATTAATTTTTGGCAAATTCACAAAATTTACAGCCTATACAGCATTGTTTGATTTGTTTCCTAAAATAATTAGTAGACTTTTTGTACCAGTTACTATTGGAATCCTCCTACCTTATTTGGCTGATTTAGCTGTGGTTTTGTGATAGTAGTAACGTTGTTACAATTGATAGTCACATGATTTTGATAAGGTCTGCTATTGAAATAAGATGGATTCTGCCTCTCCAGAAAGAAGGAGGTTGTTACCTTCTTCTTCACTTGTTAACAAAGCAAGTAAAAGGAAGTACAAACCTTTCAACTGCTTCAGTAACTACTGTAAGGAATTAAAGTCTCGTTCATTGAGTTTACCATCAATCCTACTACTGATTTATGCTCTACCAATTACAATTTGTATTGTGATTACTGACTTGACCAGTAACCAGTTCAGTCAGTGTGATTTATTTTACTCTAAGAGTGATACATTTACTTTGGATATAGCACTTATATTAAATGTACTCTTTCTTCTTGCCCCTTTCTGTGGTTGGTTATCAGACACTAAGATTGGTAGGGGTAATGCTATTTATCTTGGTCTATGGCTTGGTTGGATAGGCACTCTAATACAGGCCATAGGATGCTGTTTGCAATATAATTCCTTTCAGTGTGACACTGTTTCCTTTATAGGGAGATTTCTAATTCCTTTTGTTTTGATGTTAGTCTCGTTGTCACTCCTTTTACCTAATATATTACCACATGGTATTGATCAGTTGATGGATGAATCTACCGTCAAGATAAGAGCATTCATTCACTGGTTTGTGCTCTGCCTTTATAGTGGTGGTGCATTGCCATTTTTGTCAGGTGAGCTCTTCGTTTCAATTGTGGCTTTGCTCTCTTC